TGTCTTTTCTAGGTCTGAGAAGGATGTTGCTGGTAATTTGATGGGTATTGCATTGAATTTGTAGATTGCCTTAGGTAAGATGGACATCTTCACAATGTTGATTCTTCCAATCCATGAGCATGGGATATTTTTCCACTTGTTTGTGTCATCTTTGATTTCTTTGAGCTGAGTTTTGTAGTTTTCATTGTAAAGGTCTTTCACATCTCTGGTTAGGAAGATGCCAAGGTATTTCGTTTTTTGGGGGGCTATTGTGAATGGAATTGTGTTTTTTATTTGGGTTTCTGTTGATAACACATACTTTCTACTGTGAATGTTCATCTCCTGTTGGCTAAGATGTCTTAATGGCAGAGGTAAAGAAAGGCTACCCTGAAGGCAGAAACTCATCTTGCGGAGAGATGGGTGGGTAGAATTGTGGGAGAACTTAAGTATTCTATACTGCTTAATATTCTACAACAGGAATACACTGTATCTCTAATTATAAAAAAGCAACATATATAGCATGTAGGGTGTGGCACATGCCTGTGATCTCAGCTACTCAGGAAGCTGAGCCAGAAGGAGCACTTGAACCCAGGAGTTCAAGACCAGCCTGGGCAACACAGTGAGATCCTGTCTCTTAACAATAACAACAAAAGGCCGACCAGGCTTAGTAGCTCAGCCTGCAATGTCGGCACTATGGGAGGCTGAGGTGAGTGGATTGCCTGAGCCGGCGGGTTCAAGACAAGCCCGGGCAACTTGGCAAGACCTCGTCTCTACAACATATAAAAAATTAGCCAGGCGTGGTAGTGCATGCCTATAGTTTCGGCTACTTGGAAGGCTGAGGCGGAAGGATCACCAGAGTCCAACACGCTGGGATGACCATGAGTGTGCCACTGCACTCCAGCCTGGGCGACACAGTGAGACTCTAACTAAAAAAAAAACCAAAAAACAAAAAAAAAGGCAATATATATTAGGTTGAGAGAGGGGCATGCATATGGGGCGTGCCCATATGTGCAATTTTCCTTAATGATACCAGAAAGATTCCTGCTGCTCCAATGCCGAAATTGCCTAGAAGTCTCTATAGCACCACAAGTATCAACAATTAGACGCCATCTCATCTCTGCATGCAAATCCTTGTTTTCCTAGGTTCTTCCCCCATCATTCAAATGAAGAAAAAGCTGCACAACAACTGCGTTTAAAAATATGTATATAGCAGAAAATAAAGCTCTGAGTTTAAAATTCATTAATATTCAAATATTTTCCTGAGAAGATGCTAAACTTAAAAAATATAATCAGCAAATAATTATGAATGCGGTAATATTACAGACAACTCTCTCTAGTAACACCAACTCATCATTTTGCCATTTCAAAATTCAAGTATAAAGGTCAAACATGGGAATTAAGAGTGACTGTTATAACAATCATGGAAAAACAATCTTGCTGTAAATCAAATAAGTGCCAAAAACATCATAGCTATTCCAAGAAATGCAGTTATATTTGCCAAAAATAAAAATTTCATTAAGTCCCCACAAATTAGCATATTTCTAACCAGAATTTATTACAATCCCCGACTTACATTTTCCATCTTTGTGATGTTGTAAAAGCTAGTCAGTAGAAGTCATACTTCAAATTTGAACTCGGACCTTCTCCTAGACTAGCGACATACAGTAGGACATGGTGATCCCGGGTGCCATGACCAGGGGCAAACCACCAACATGTAATATGCAAGGGCAGTATGTGTCAGGACTCTGCCCAGCATAGGCTCAGATGAGTGTCCTGAGTGAGTGTGAGGTAGGACAGATTGGCTATGCAGTCTTGCATGCATTTTTTACTTAATGACTTTTTTTTTTTTTTGAGTTGGAGTCTCACTCTGTCACCCAGACTGGAGTGCAGTGGCCGCTCCCGGCCACCGCAGCCTCGACCTGCTGGGCTCTGGTGATCCTTCCGCCTCAGCCTTCCAAGGAGCTGGAATTACAGGCATGCACTACCACGCCCGGCTGATTTTTTAATTTATTGTAGAGATGAGGTCTTGCTGCCCAGGCGGGTCTCGAACCCGCGGGCTCAGGCAATCCACTCACCTCAGCCTCCCAAAGGCACGCGGGATTACAGGCTGAGCCACCGAGCCCGGCCTTAATGACATTTTCAACATTAGATTGGCTTATCAAGACACAACCCCATCGTAAAGTGAAGAAGAATCTATATTTTTAAAAGTGAAAGAAAAAAAGAAAATTAAAGATACATCCATTTAAAAAAAATTTTTATTATTATTATTTTTTTAGTTGGAGTCTCACTGTCACCCAGGCTGGAGTGCAGTCGCATGCTCATGGCCACCACAGCCTCGACCTGCTGGGCTCAGGAGATCCTTCCGCCTTAGCCGTCCAAGTAGCTGGAACAACAGGTGTGTACCACCACACCTAGCTAATTCTTTAATTTATTGTAGAGACAAGGTCTCGCCAAGTTGCCCAGGCTGGTCTCGAACCCGTGGGATCAGGCAACCCTCTTGCCTCCATCTCCCAAAGTTCTGGGATTACAGGCTTGACTCACCGTGCCTGGCCTGACACGATCCATCTTTATATAAAAATAATTAAGAATATACTAAACACAATGTTAGTTTTGTCATGTCTATGAAAAATGACCTGGTTGGGCGCAGTGGCTCAGCCTGTAATCCCAGCAGGTTGAGGCTGCAGTGGCTGTGAGCATGCCACTGCAGTCCAGCCTGGGTGACAGAGTGAGACTCCAACTAACAAGCAAGGTTTTCTGCCTAAATAAGGGGATTGTATCCTTCTTTTTTTTTTTCTGAGTTGGAGTCTCATTCTGTCACCCAGGCTGGAGGGCAGTGGCACACCTCTTGGCCACCGCAGTCTCAAACTGCTGGGCTCTGGTTATCCTCCCATCTCAGCTTTCCAAGTAGCTGGAATTACAGGCGAGCGCTACCACACCCGGCTAATTTTTTTTAAATTTATTGTAGAGACGAGGTCTGGCCAATTTGCCTGGGCTGGTCTTGAACCCATGGGCTCAGGCAAATCCACTCGCCTCGGCCTCCCAAAGTGCTGGGATTACAGGCTGAGCCATGAAGCCTGGCCTCTATCCTTCTTATTAAAGACAGTCTCTTTGTCTATTAGGAAAAAACAAACAAACAAAACTATACATAAGAATGACATACCTAAAAAACGTAAACCAGAAGCAAAATGTCTAGACAGCTATACACAGTTCAAATCCTGACGACAAATCACAGAAACACCATGGAAAGCTTTGACAGCTTGCCGACAGCTTACCCACATTTTATTCACCCCCCCAAGTAGTGGCTGGGTGGCCTGATAAATGCCACAACCCAAGATGTGGGTGTAAACCACACATGCCAACTCTCCCCAAGGACTGAGTGCCATTGTCATGCAAGCCCAGGTTTGAATGCAAACGCTGCAGCTTACTATCACAGTGGCAATCAAGCTTAACTTTCCAAGCCTCAGTTTCTGTATCTGTACTACAAGGCTACTATCTCACTCATAAGGTGGTTGTGAGAATTAAAAATGATAATATATTTAAAGTGCTTGGGACTGTGCCTGGGCCCATCATAACAAAAATATATATGGACTGTTTACCATTACATTACAAAGCTCAAGGACTTTACATTACAGGCATGAAGATTCGCCAGCACTCTTATACGTTACGTGGTAGCAGATTATCAACAAGCACATATTGACATTAGGAAAATGAATACAAAGTTGTGAGACCACACAGTTACTCAGCACCTCAGAAGCCTTTGACAACAGGCTATTACAATATCATGAAGTTGCAAATGGCATGGTGGACTTGCATCATCTGAGGAAGTTCCAAATCACTGTACTTGGATTATGAAGGCAGAAAATGTGTAATTAATTGCTGAAAGATTTTCATCTGAAATTAGTAAACTTAAAAAAAAAAATCTAATATTTTAAAAGTCCATATTTCAATTAGTTTGAAAATCCATTCATGTAAAACTGATGATCCGCTAAAGGTAAATGAGTTATACTTCTTCAAAAGGAAAGAATTTCAGTCAAAACATACTCAAATTGGCATGCTTAGAATCATACGTCAGTTATTCAGGGAACTCACTGGCAATGCATGGTTTACTACCACAAGAACTGCACTTGAAGATTTCCTTTTCTTCTGAATCTTGTTGTAGAAGTATTCATAAATATATCCTATGTATTAACTATTAAACATCAACATTTTATGTATATACAGTAATTATTATACAGCTGTAAATAAATATACCAAGGAATAGACTGCAAATGTTCTTAATTAGACTAGTTCAATTTACTTACACAATCATCCAGTTTTCTAAAAATAACCTTTTTGTAAAAACCTTTTTTATATAACAACAATCTCAGGAAAATAACAGACAGTATGTCACTTTACAATTCTATTCTTCTAGGACTTGGTAAGCTTATACTTATTCTAATTACTCCTTTCAAGATATTCTAGATGTCTGCATAGAGACTCCTTCCCTCATTCCATTCTCCCGATCCACACCAGTATGAGAAAACTAGCTATTTCACCTGAGTTGTTTGGTTGGTCTTTTCTAAGTTGCCAAATCTGGGAAGATGTGGGTAAAATCAGCCTAGGTATATGAAAGAATAACCCTTCTAGATGGTTACCTTCAGATCCTTAGCCCAAATGAAAAACACAACCGCATAAATCATTCCCCAAATAATTACACCAAGTTATGCAGGTCATAGACATCACTGTTCCTATACCTGTCAGTATAAGAATCTCTTCCATTCCATCCAAACAGAGCAGTAACTGAGCCTCTGCTGGAGCACGTCCAGTGATATGTCTAAATTCACACACCTTCTCCCACCCCGCCAAATAAGAGAGAGATAAAGGTAGGAAAAGACAACTCAAGCAGTCAAATACACCAGAGCATCACACAGCTGCTAACACTGGTGGGAAATTAACCATGCAAAGGAACAAAGGCCATCTCTTCCTCCAAAACTGGAGAAAAAGCTTACAGTCAGTGATAAATAAGTTAAAAGACTACTTACCACCAAAGTGGGTGCTGTCAATAATCCCCAAGCAAAAAACTCCAAAAAGATGACGATGACCGCATGATAAACACTGGGAGAACCTATTCCTTGAGGCTACAAAGAGAGATTTTTTTAAAGGTTAACAAAAGTTAACAGTGCTTTCCACACTTACCAACAGTGATAGCAGCAGTCAATAAACATTTATTATGAACAAATACGTATTGGACGCTAAGTCAGACATCTGCACTCACTGTTGCTGTCCTCAAAGTGACAGGGACAGATGAGGACCACAAAATTCATTACCACCAGCACAGTATGCAGTAGGAGCACACAGAGTACGAGGGGTGGACTCAGGCTTCTGGAAGAAGGTCGGGAGGATACCACGGAGGTAGGCAAGCAGAGGACAGGACGGTGAAGACTGCTCAGTCCCCAGCTCTGCGGCTGGCGGTGCATGGGCCTCACGCAGTCCAGGACAGCCCAAGCATAGACTGTGCAGGGGACAGGGAGGGACAAACTGGGGCTTCACACCAGCTCGCCTCGAGGATGGAAGACGTCCTCAGGCCCAACAACACACAGAGGGTTAAGGCTTCATAGCCTACTTTGTGGCATCTAACCACTGTTTTCTCATCTGACAGAACATTAATATCTAGAATACACAGGAACTGAAACATCTCAGTAGAAAATAAATCCAACTTAAAAATGGGGCTGGCCAGGCTCAGTGGCTTAGCCTGTAATCCTGCGCCTTTGGGAGGCTGAGGTGAGTGGATTGCCTGAGCCCGCGGGTTTGAGACCCGCCTGGGGCAGCGAGACCTCATCTGTACAATAAATCAAAAAATCAGCCGGGCGTGGTAGCACATGCCTGTAATTCCGGTTACTCGGAAGGCTGAGGAGGAAGGATCGCCAGAGCCCAGCAGGTCGAGGCTACGGTGGCCGGAAGCGGCCACTGCACTCCAGTTTGGGGGACAGAGTGAGACTTCAATTCAAAAAAAAAAAAAAAAAAAAAAAAAAGGGGGGGGCTGGGCATGGTGACTCATGCCTGTCATCCTCATACTTTGGGAGGCCAAGGTGGGAAGATGACTTGAGCCAGGAGTTCGAGACCAGCCTGGGCAACACATCAAGACCTTATCTCTACAAAAAAATTTAAGAAAAACTAGGAGGGCATGGTGGTGTGCACCTGTAGTCCCAGCTACTCAGGAGACTGAGGCAGAAAGATCACCTGAGCCCAGGATGTAGAGGCTGTGGTGAGCCGTGATCATGCCACTGCCCTCCAGCCTGGGTGACAGAGTGAGACTCAACTCAGAGGGAAAAAAAAGCTAACAAATATATGAAAAAATGTTCCACAACAGTAATAATCAGGGAAATGGCAATCAAAGCCACAAGGAGGTTATGGATGGCTCTGTGACAGCCTATGAGGATGGCGATGACCAAAAAGACAGAAAAGGACAAACGCTGGTGAGGATGCAGAGAGTGTAAGCTAGCACAGTCACTCTGGAGAATAACATGGAGGCCGTTCAAAAAACAACAGAGAACCCCAGGTTACCCAGTAATCCCTCCAAGGGAATTGAATCACCGTAGTAGAGACTGCTGCATGTTTCCTGCAGCACCAGTCACAACAGCTAAGGGAGACACAGAATGACCCAGGGGTCCCACAACAGACAAATGGATCAAGAAAATGTAGTATACACAACACACACAGACACACACACTCCCCCATGGAATAACAATCAGCCACAAAAAAGAATGAATCCTGTCATTTGCAGTAACATGAATGGAACTGGAGGACATTATGTCAAGTGAAATAAGCCGGACATAGCTCACGTCTGTCATCCTAGCACCCTGGGACATGGAGGCGAGAGGACTACCTGAGTCCAGGGGTTTGAGACCAGCCTGGGCAACCTGGCAAGATCTTGTCTCTTCAGTAAATCAAAAAATTAGCTGGGCTGTAGTTCCAGCTACTTGGAAGGCTGAGGCAAATGAAGAATCACCTGAGCCCAGCGGTCAAAGGTGTGGTGGCCGTGGGCATGCCACTGCATTCCAGCCTGGGCGACAGAGGGAGTCTCGGATTCAAAAAAAGAAATAAGCTAGACACAGAAAGACAAATATTGCATGATTTTACTCATATGTAGGAGCTAAAAATGTAGAAGTAGATCAGAGCACACAAGGGCAGGGAAGAGCAGGGGGGATGGGAGGTTGGAGAGAGATTTGTGAAAGGACACAGAATTAGGGAGCCAGGAGGAGGATGTTCTTGTGATCCAGACTGCTGAGGATGACTACAGTCCACAACAATGTATTACACAGTTTCAGACAGCTAGGAGAACACTGAATGTCATCAACACAAGGAAATAGCACATGTTTGAGATGACAGATGACTATGTGCCCCATGAATATGTACAATTATTTGTCAATTAAAAAATAAAATCATGGCTGGGTGCAGTGGCTCAGCCTGTAAGTCCAGCACTTTGGGAGGACAAGGCGAGAGGATTGCCTGAGCCCAGGGGCTCCAGACCAGCCTGGGCAACTTGGTGAGACCTCACCTCTACATTAAATCACAAAAACTAGCCAGGCGTGGTAGCATGCCTATAGTTCCAGCTACTTGGAAGGCTGAGGCAGAAAGATCGCCTAAGCCCAGCAGGTCAAAGCTGTGGTGGCTGTTGAGTGTGCCACTGTACTCAGCCTGGGCAAGAGTGAGACTCCAACTCAAAAATATAAAAAATTAAATTAAATTAAAAAGTTAAAACTTAAGGTAAGAATTACTTCTGCTATCGAATTTCATATTTAAAGGGCAACAGAAAATTGATAGAAAAACAAGTACCTACAATAGTCTCTACTAACAAGTTTGTACACTAAGAGAAAGACAAATTTCTAGATAAAAGTCTAAACCTACTGCTATTTGGCCTGGATTTGCATGAGACAATCATACACTGCAGTGTCATACCTAAGCTTTAAAGTCTATTCAACAGCTTTTTGTAGAAATATTAGATGTTTGGATTTTTCTACATGCTGAGAATGACCCTCCGTCATTCATGTCATGATGTATCATCAGCATTTAAAATAGTCTCTTCCAACCTACAGAATTCAGGTACCTGAAAACTCCCTTTTAGAACTTGCCACTGAGGAGTGTGAGACAAGGGAAAAGGAACAGAAGGACCATGCTGGGAATGAGTTTGCACACAAGTTCATTCATTCAACAGCTATTTACAGTGCACCCACTGTGTGCTTGAGGTCCCAGAGTTCCAAAAACAATAAAGACACACTCCCTGACCTCAAGTTCAGTCTGGAAAGGAAGAAACAAGACAATCACCTGCTTATGTGTAGATGCCATAAGAGTGGTGCACAGGTTAGGAAATAAGGAAAGAGAAATGCAAGAACAAGCAGTAGTATGGACAGTCACGTTGGAGAAGACAGGAGGAGGCAGACAGGGCATGACAGTCCATATACAGGAGGCCAAGGAGTCAGAGGGAGGTAGAAGAGGTAGCCTCGAAACTGTGCTAAGGAATTTCTCATCTTTGGGGACAAAGGAAACCACTGAAGGGTTTCAAGCAAAAGAATGGTCTAATCAGGTAGCATTGCTCAATACATCACCGGTGATTTCCTAAGAAGGAAACTTAGTGTACGTACAAGAAAGCTACTTGAATCAGCCCCAACAAGGGATGAGGGCATGAAACGGCAGAGCAGCATGGGCTCTGGAGGGGAGGAGAGTGTACATGAATTCAGGATCCGGATCTAGAGGAAGTGGAACCTGATCAATGGTGGCAGAATCCCAAGCGTTCAGCTGGCTGCTTCTTGGTGACAGTGGGTGACTCCCAACACCTCTTCCCCAAGACTCAGATTCATCTCAGGTCCCATATAGAGACCCTTCTTGACTTGAAGCATTTCTACTGCCTCTGAGCCCAGATTAGAATAATCAGCCAGCAGCAAATGCAGTATCTGAAGCACCAGAATGAATGAGATCATCAGGAGAGTGAAGAGAACAGTGGGCTAAGACAGAACCTAGAAGGGCCACCACTCTAAGTAGCAGGCAGAGGAAGATGAAGGTGTTCTTTGATAAATAAAAGAGAAGATAAGAAAGAATAATGAAGGCCCGGTGCAGTGGCTCATGCCCATAATCCCAGCACTTTGGGAGGCCAAGGTAAGAGGATCGTCTGAGCCCATGAGTTCGAAACCAGCCCGGGCATCTTAGCAAGACATCATCTCTACAACAAAACCAAAAAAGTAGTCAGGCATGGTGGTGTGTGCCTGTAGTTCCAGCTATTTGGAAGGCTGAGGTGGAAGGATCACCTGAGCTCAGCAGGTCGAAGCTGTGGTGGCCATGAGTGTGCCACTCCACTCCAGTCTAGGCGACAGAGACTCCAATTCAAAAAAAAAAGAAAAGAGAGAGAACAATGAGAAAAATCAGGGGAATAGAGAATAGTGTCACAGATGACAAAGGAGCAGTTTTAGGAAGAAAGGGGTGATGACCAATGCCAAATGGAGCACAGGTAGTCAGATACAGTCAAAACGTGGCTATGGTTTTGCGCCCCACCACACATACCTGGCACCTACTAGAAGGCTTAGAAGAGCTTGGTGGAAAAACAAGTAACCTACAATAAAGGGCCTTTAGCATACAAATTTCATGTTAAGAATCTCCAAGAAGACACAGTGTACATTGTTTTCCAAACTCAACCATGGACTCCTTCTTTCACATAACAGATAGTATCACATGGACACTTGAGTTTCTTGGAAAAGAGTTTGGCATATGCGGATAAAAAGTTGGTAATTATATAAAAATGTCTATCAATATACACACAGAGAAAAAAGGATAATAGGAAATAATGTGCTAAAAGTGGTTCTCTATTTAAGTGAAGCAATGCTTAGTCAAGGGAAGACTTCCTAAGAGGCAGGCGGTACAGCTAAGCTGAGACTTCGGAGTCGAGTGGGAAAGATGTCAAGATTGTCAGGTGAGTATGGGGGGGTGGGCAATGACCAAGAAATCTGAGGAAGAGGATATGCAAATGCCAGAAGACATAAGACATTATGGCTTATTTTACTATCTGATATCTAAGAAGGAAAGCAGTAACCGCTTAGTTGAGAAGTGAGCAGTGATGAAGTTGGAGAGATGACTTGAAAAG